AATCTAGTGGATATTTAATATTTCTAAAGTTCAGTTCATGATTGTCGTAAAACATTGGTTATTAGAATAAGTATCCAGATATTCACGTGCCATTTTTGAGAATCTTATGATTTAATGGTAATGATTATGGTTGATCTGCTTTGATCCTTGCATCATGTCATATTGCTGCTGTACTGAAGAAACTTAATAATAAACTGAAGATTGAATCATATCTCCTTCGATGATCTTCCAGAAACAATACCTTGTGTTTCATCTTGTTATTAAATAATAATAATACTTACATTTGATGAAGCACCTTTACACTTCAGGAGGACATCTCAAAGCTCTTCACAAGATCTATTGCAAAGTGTAATGCCTGTGCATTTTGTCGGGAAGCACAATTATACTATCAATCGATAGCATGAGACAATAAATATTGATTGTAATTGGCCTTTATTATATCATTAGGATCAAGTATTAGATCTTATCAGGACTGACATGAGATGTAAACTTCCAAAAGTTCTCTGTTAAATTTTGTATGAATGAGATAGTATTATGCGTGGAACTGAAAGCCTAAAATACATTTGTGTGTGTGTGTTTTTAGCACTTGGTAGTAGCAGGCTTGTGCAGAAGAGATTCTGAGTGACTGGATCAACTATTTATTATTGGACCATATTTATGCTGATTGACTGGATGCTGATATGATTCAGATTTCTTCCCCATGCTTTATCACCCTCGTTCCTAAAGGAAATGATGCATGTTTGGTTACATGGGTACCAGCAGCAACCCATCTTCTTAACCAATTAATTACACGAGCACGGGTGAACCCAGTGTTGGTAGACTATTTGAACACGAACGTAATCAAAGCCGAGTCTGATTTTTTTGTCCTCACACAATGTGCACACTTGTACACTTTCTCGCTGGGGTCAACGGAGAGTGATAGAGTTGCTGATAGGCATTGTATTGCCATGGCTAAGGTCAGCTTGCTCATTCATTGATTCATTCATTGATTCATTCATTCATTCATTCATTCATTGTATATTAGTTCTTTATTGCATCAACTGGAATATTTAACCTGTACTATAATTTTATGTTATACTAAATGGCACAGCCTAGCTCAGGCCAAGTTCTGAACTGTACCCAAGCTTCAAATGGCACAATTACGTGTTATAATCAAATAGTGTGCACATGATTGATGCAAAATGTTTACTATAGGGACACTCCATAGCTTTAGTGCATTGTGTTATAAGGCAGCAAGCAGTACGTATCTCAAGCGTCAGATAACATAATACAACACAAGGGTTCCTCTTTTAGACTTAATCAATATATTCTAAACTCTGATTAATTAATGTTGCTGCCTAGAAACACATTGCTATATACATTATTCTATGTAATACACAAAGAGCAATTTGTCTTTCTGTGCAATTAGTTTCAGAGTTGAATGTTAATTCCCCCGATAGCATCATCTGCTACTGCATAACATGATTCACGTTGAAGTGATTGTGCAATGATATTGACTTTTAGTTTATTGAGCTTTATAGAGAAATAGAACATCTTGTACGTATTATAAGTCAATATCAAAGGACATTACATCTAATAGAGTTAATTAATTTCTAGAATGTTGTGAATGTTCTGGTTGGATGTACTGAGGGTATTGCTATTTGGTTTGATGTCTTAAAGCAAAAATTGTTGACTTGGTCAAATCTACGAGGTTACCATATCAGTCTTCAGATTTCTGACACTCAATTGGCTGAAATGAATGACTTTTGGTACCTGATCAGTTTTCGTCCAATAAGAGGGACCAATTTGCTTGGGTTTCACCTTCAATATGGACTGAGCAAGTGGGAGGAAGAGGAAAATAATATTGTTTATTGTTGAAAGACGGTAGTAGTATATCAAATAGAGTGCATCCGTTGTAAAATTAATGAACTAAAATGGGAGAGAATATGGCGTTGGGAAGAAAACTGAGGCTAAAGAAAGGCTGAGCAGAAGGAAATTGTATTGCTTTACAATTATTTTCCTGGTGTTAATTTCAGATGGTCATGGTAAAAAAAATCTAGTTCTGTCAGTACTAGGATTGAAATATTGGAGCTTTTTTCATTAGTTTGAGAGCTGAAACAATATTTTTTCCCCAGGCAAACTAAAGGTTAACGTCAAAATGTTAGAATTAGCAGGTCACGACTTCACGTTAATGGTCGAGACAATTAATTATCATGGGTGGAAGTTATTAGGAGATTATTATGCATTAAGCAAATACAGGAAAAATTCTGCAATTGGAAAACCACCAGTTTTGTTTGTGTAAACAATAATCCAAAAGCAGAGTTCTTGGCTGAATCCCACCTCTCTGTTAACATGAACAGTATTATTTTTTTCAATGAGAAATACAGGTGTGTTGATTATGGCCACGAACAGTATTTGTAAAGAAACATTGGGAAATATTTAATTGAATTGGCTTTCAATTGAAACTAAAGTTCCAGTTTAAAAGAATGTTTTATTTGGTTGAACATCTTTTATCTGTATATTGTAGTAGTTCATCTGGGATAAACTATTTAGAAACGTTTAAAATAAATGCAGTTTATTTCTTTCGTCTGTTTCATTGCAGTGCCAATGCTTTGATATATAGGCATCAAAATAACCCATTTTGTCGAATAGGATAATGACTGATAATTGCAAGAATTAACCTCAAGTGGTTCATTTAAAGGCTATGGACATTATTATCACTTTACAGCCGTATGTGTTCCACCACACAATGTAAACCCAGTCACGTTTACTTGGGCAGAAAATCACGTTGTTCGTGTCATGTAATAGTGTTGTCGGGACTTTTATGCAGATTCCGGAAGGATCAAAATAAAGTTTCGTGGAGAGATTCCTACCAATCAAGTGTTGTGGGAAAACAGTGAATGAATGTCCTGATTTATTCCATTTGAGAACGTGCAGTCGCCATGAACTAAACATTAAAGTGTCTCTGTTGCACGTTGTTCTTCTATTGTCGCTCTCTCCACCCACTCCCCAAATCTGCTCAGAAACAAATCACGAAGACATTTTCCTAAGTGGCGTTTGGAGGCGTATTGGCAGTAGCCCGAGGGCCACTCTCCATGGATTGCAATGTCTGTGGAGACGATTTGGTGCTTCTCCTGTGGTACCCAATCGTTTCCATTGATCAAATGCAAGGATTATTGATTGAATGGTTCAGTCCGCCAATGCCACCCAGCGACATACTCCCATGTCCTGCTATTGCACATTGCTTCAGCAAAGCAGGGCACTACACTTCACTTTGCTGTCATCGATGTATTCTGTTTATATAGAAGGCAGATTTTGTTTTAAAAAACAGTTTGAAGTCATATTAATGGGTATGCACATGCTGTCTATCACTGCCAACGATAGACAACCGTTGCAACGTGCGTAAATGTTCAGAGCCCCCCAAATCCACCAAGGGGTCAGCGTCTTGTTTTTAATTTAAAATTGTTTTCCTTACAATATTAATCTGTTAAATTATTGATTTCGTGTTACTCGGTTTGAGTTCGGTCCAATCGTTCCGCATTTACAGATTATGGTTTTATTCAATTGTATTGGGCATTTTGTTTCGATTCACGGTTAGAATTTAGATGTTAACATTTGGGGACTGAAACTTCAACTTCTTTAAAAGGGATCCGAGTAAATGCTCCAAGTGATCAAACAAAGTCAAAGTAATGGAACTGAAACATCTGTCGTTTTCAATAAAGCGGTGCTAAGAACAGGGTGCTAAATGTGGGAATAATATAGTGGTATAGTGGTAAAAAGGAATTGAAAATGCATCCAGGAAGATACTTATTTTTCAGAAGACCTTAATTTCTTTGATCCTATTACAGCAACGATGTATGGTCCGAAACACTTGCTTACATGACACCGAACACGCCTGACTCTTGAGTGCAACTGCTAATAATTAGTGTGGAACTCAGCCAATTAACCCCAAATGTCCCATTGACGTTAAGACACATTTTTTTTAAAAAAAAAACAAAAACTTTGTTTGACCCAAATAATATCCTGAAACATCCGCGTTAGTCGGGTCTCGAAATACCTTTCGCATTCGATTCTCAAAGGAAATTCAACATCTGGTCACATCTGGTCAATCCAGGACTGTCGGTCCTTGTCGCTTGTCTTCTTTATTTTGAAGTTGATTTATCTTTCAGGCCATTCACTGCACACACACTACACACACACACCACACACACACACACACCAAACACACTACACACACACCACACACACACTACACACACACACCACACACACTACACACACACACACCACACACACACACACACACACACCACACACACACTACACACACACACCAAACACACTACACACACACACACACACACACACACACACACAGCTTTAGGATCTACTGTATTTACATCCGTGTCAGTGGACCATTTCTTTCCCACCAGTGAGAGGAAACACACTTGGATGATCATGCCTGTTTGGGAGAGGTGTGTGTGTGTGTGTGTATATATATATATGTGTGTGTGTGTGTGTGTGTGTATCTGGGAACTAAGTGATTGATACCGTGCGTGTCTTGGATGCTGAAACTAACCACTGTACCGCTAAAAAAAAAACACCTCGTCTCGTATCGCCCGCAGTGTATTCGCACACGAACAGAGAGAGAACCTTTCCAGGTTAATTTTATCCCCAGGGGAATAAAAAAAATACTAGTAAAGCTCGACGATAGCACCTTGAACTCTTTTAATTCCAACGCTATCGGTAGAAGGTAAAGCAGTCAACAAATATAATACTAATAGGAATATAACCACTTAAACTGTCTAATGTAAACGGAATGTTTGGTTGGAGTTTTTTCCAATGGATAGATTCTCACCATTGAACAACTTGAAGCAGCATGCAATTTTTTAATTTTCGATTAATTTCTTGGCAACGTCATTCAACAAACCACGATATTTTCTGAGGAATGTAAGTAAATACAGGCTGATTGTATTTTTTTTTTAAAGTTTGTGCGCAAAAAAAAAATGACTTATTTCTCTCTCTCTCTCTCTCTCTCTCTCTTCTCGGGTCATGGAAATGTTCAATAAATAGACCGTAAAACCACTTTTTTTTTACTGTATAAACTTCATTTATACATGCAGTCCATAAAATTATTATTTTTTTTTCTCTGTCATCGTTTTTTTTTCTCTCCCACGGAATAATTTACCCTGTAATGTAATATATACAAATAGATAACTTCTCGATAAAATCTATACAGGTGAATTCACTATCTTCCCCTCTTAAAGGTCAATGTACATACACAGGACGTGTCTATCCTGATAAATCTCCACCCAATTCTTTTCCTGCTATCCATGGTCAGGGCTCGCACGTAAGATTGGCTGGTTTTGCATTGGGAGTTCCAGTGCTTCTTGTCTATCCCTCGACACCCTTCGTTGGTGAAACCCTTTGGGTTGCACTTGGTCTCGTAAAAGTATTGCTTGAGTTGGCCGTTGGGGACGAGGATTTTCTCCAGGACGGTCACAGTCTGCCCCGACATGTCCACGGCTGTCTTTTTCGCCTCGGCGGTCACCCACTGGCTAATACTGTCACACACGCTCAGCTCGCCGCGCCGGGCAGGGTCAGAGTGCCTCCTCACCCTGGCCGACATGTTGGCCGCCTCCAAATAGTTCCTGTACTCCTCCATCAGGAAGAGCAAGGGCGGCTCCAAAGGCACTTGGCCGCTCACCATGACCCTGGACGAATACAAATCCACGTCCTTGCCTCCCTCGCTCGGCCTGGGCTCCTGTTCCACCTCCAGTAGCTCCTCCAGCACATGCTCGAACGTGTTGGCCAAAGAGCCCAGTTCTCCATTTCCACCACCACCGCCTCCTGCTCCTCCTCCACCTCGTCCACCTCCTCCTCCACCACTTATCAGGTTGTCCAGCGTCCCATGAGGCCGTAGAGCTGGGTACAGGGAGCCGCCTTGACCTCGGCCTCCAGCTTCTTTCATTGGGGCAGCTTTCAGGCAACCGAAATATGAGATAACCATAGTAAGGAACAAGATGGTCATTACTCTCCTCACCTGATGGATCTGAGGAGGGAAGGGGGAAGGAAGGACAAAGAACGAGAGCGAGGGAAAGAGAGACAGAAAGATAGAAAGAGAGGGAGAGAGAAGAAACAATATTGTTATTTCTAAAGGTTATCCAAATATCAGATCATACACATCTCCCAAAACCCACTCCCCACAAAAAAAAGACAAAGTTGCAAGTTATTCCCATGTTGTATCAATAGGCAAGTCAGACAACCAGATGACATGCTACCAACCCAACTCATTTATTACGAGGAAGTCGAGCTTTGTTTTGGGCCTTAATGTCTAAACACTTGGCCAAGAAACATGAACCCCCAAAGCCAGTCCCGGTGGTCGATCGGCCATCACCTCCTCCCAGAGAGAGAGAGAGAGAGAGAGAGAGAGAGAAAGTTCAATCGATCAGAGGGCGTCTCGTGTCTGTTGTGGCAGGATGCTGTGGATAAAAGCGAGGGGAGGGGAGGGGAGGAGGGAATGCTTACACGTTCAGGTAGAGATCAGTAAGCAATTCAGCAGGGGATGTGACAGCCTTGCAATCAAACGGCAGAGCAGGCAGGGTTGGGGTTGGGTGCCAGTAGAAAGCGAGGTGTTCAATATCTGTGGCTGGTGGTGAGGGGGCTATTTTATAACAGCGAGTATGAATCACCAGACTTATAAATAGTAACGTGCACTCGTTTCAGTCAACAAGTGAGGCATCTGCCCAAACGCTTTCGACTAAGGTCATTGCAATGTGCTTGGTGGCGTCACGCTCGGTTTCGTCGTCAAACCAGAGAAATTAAGTGTTTTTTTTTGCCCATCAAGAGAGAGAGAGAGAGAGAGAGAGAGCTCACTGCTTGTGACTCATTCCCCTGTTTGCACGATTTCCAACCCCGGCTGCCTTGGGTATCAGTGAGGAAAGGAAGTTGACACTTTGGTGGAGACTTCAATGCCAGCTGATCGCCCAAACAACGATCAAGGTTACGCCAAGTCACTAAACTGGGGGTTTTCTTGGACATCGGGACGAAATACAAAGATTATGGGCAACAATTCGAGCCGCCCTTGGCAATCAGCAGCGTTTCTGCTAAATACCAGCCTCAGACTTCAAACGCAAGATGCTGCAATCCCATTTGAAGCCTGGTTCAAATCAATAACTTCACAAAGTTGTCCCCCCTCTCACACACACACACACACACAAGAATATTTCTTACACAAATCCAGAGGACGAGTTACAACATTGCAAACGTTCAAGCAACGTTTGCCACGGGTCTGTGTTAGGGTATAAACTCGACCCAGTGAAATATCAAGGCGAAGAAGTACCAATGTTTCAATGCATATCAAAACGGACATTGTGAGTAAGCGTTATTTTTATTAAGGTTAAGCAAAATATAGTCTCTTTGAAAGCTTGAAGCATTAACCTTTCTGCCCCCCCCCCCCCCACCACCTCCCTTCGTATATATTACAGATATAAACATTCTCAGAAACCACTGAGTGCCAGTCACCCTTCAGTCTTAGTTCACCTTCTTATGTGGTCTTCCAATTAGTCATTAATGTTAACACAGCATCATTAAACGGCACTTTGGGAACCACACGCATTCAGCAGATCAAACAGTTGCACCGCAAAGTAGGCAAACGATACCGAATCTCTTGGTGGGGGGCACACACACTCTATATCTAACCTATTACTGTAAATGCAATCCGCCAATACCGGCTATTGTGTTTCCAGTTAACTGGGTTTATGCAGAAGGTTCTTGTGGAGGAAGGGGAGGGAGCAAACAAGACGCATATAGTATGCAGCGACATGTTAACACATAAAGCCATTCAAAACATTGAAAGAATACGTGGTACGTAACACAGGGCCCAGGAATAGCAATCTCCCCTGTAACGCTATCACTGCTTCTATCTTAGCTAAGAACCGTCGGGCTCACAGGAAAAGTTGGGCAGCTATTCAGCACTCTGATTAATTCGGCTTATACCCCTGGCGGGTCATTTACCCAATCGATAATCGGTTCAACTTCATAAATATTGCGGTCAGCATCGATATCACTAACAGGGCACATCAACCTCGAATGGCACAGAAACACGTCGATGGGAACGGCATGATTTTTAAATATATATATATATATATTCTATATATAATCAATATATCAAAGAATATGCATGTTACGTTTTCCTTTAACCTTCTCAGCGTAAAAAGAAACGCTGCAAACGGCATCGCTACAATCCACACGGCAAGTGAATGCGAGAGGAGTTATTTGTGATCTCGACCCCACCCGCGGAGATATGGCGATTGCGATTAATTAATTGCATTACATTATTGGCTGATACACGAAACACGAAAGTGCCGAATTGTTGGGGACGCAATTCGCACTTCGGAGTCATCGGCAGAACGAACCTCGCAAATTACAAGGCAATTTTCGCATGACTTGTGTGATGATGATAATAATAATTATTATTATATTATTATTAAATATGGTTTAGGGTGACAAAGCTGGCTGGGGCTGGGGGGGGGGGGGGGGAGGCATACCTCTCTTTCCCTAAAGCAAGGTGCAACACACTGACACCTTGGTAAAAAAAAACTAACTCTCATCACGTTATTCCCCACCCCCCACACACACCCCTCCCTCAACCCCCCACCAAGGTACCAGATTTGGATCTAACAATGTACTCCCGGGAAAGGAACAAAGAGGGTATTGCAGTCATATTTCCATTTCAGAAGACAAGATTTACATTGCAGATGATGGATGCTGTTTATATTCATGCAGACTTGAGTTGCAATTGCGTCACCGAGGTAACACATCTAAATTTAATACCTCGTCAATTACATCTTCTCTCGGTAACCCCCCCCCCAACCCCCCTCTCTCTCTTCTCTCTCTCTCATCCCAAACCTCTCTCCTTCACCGGTACCGCGTCTGAAAGATTTTTGCTCGATCTACAACGTACGACTTCGAACATCTTTTTCTCGAATCGACAAACTGTGGTGGCAAATGAAAGGCATTGTTGCCAGAAGCGTTGACTCCTTTCAACGCACTACTTTCGAAAAATACCCAAGTGTCTCCCAGGATTTTTTTTTTAGTCCACTTAGCTGGTCTTTCACAAAGGAAACCCACAAGCTTGACAGTGGACAAAGCAGATGACAGCCCTCATCCCCCCCAACCCTCCCCCACCCCACCACCACCACCACCACAAGTTCTACACAATTTGTGTTTCAACCCATCTCGTTGAATGGACAAAGATAGTCATCACCACTGCAGTTCTCCTTTTAATGGTTGACCCGCTTCAACAAGACAAAGAAAGTGAATAAAATACCTAAGTCCAAAGGCATCGCCAAAATTCTGGTACATTATGAGCGACTTTTTCCAATATCGGATCCGACGAGAGTCTGTTTCCCCTCCAAAGACCAACATTTTCCAACGTTGCCACCTATTATTTATTTTTTTAAAAAAAATTTTTTTTTTTTTTTCCTCTCTCCCCCCCCCCGTGGTAGTGTTTCATTTATTTTTTTTAAAAAAAAAACACGCGATCTGCTTACTTGCGGCGACGTTACTTTGCGGTCGATGGCAAAACGCACCGGTTTTCGGAGCACAACGTAAAACTGACCAGAATCAGGTTAGAATGGTCATGATTTTCATCTCCAGCTGGTGACGCTGTAGTACGCGGTTGAGTGGGGAGGGGTGTGTGGGGGGGGGGGGGGCGCCTTTTAGCCCAGATACCTCAAAGTGTTGGAATTGTTGCAGATGGCAACTGAATTTCACATTCTTGTCGTTATCATCTGCAAATGACTGCGTTTAAAGCACCTTCGTATATGCAATGAAGGGAACAAGGGGGTGGAGATGGGGCGGGGGAAGGGGGGGGGGGGGGCAGGGGGGAAGGGGCTTCAACTTGCTGCAACTGCTCCTGTCTGCATTCTCCCAAACAAGAAGACACAGCTATTTATTTGCACTGTATCGCACTCAACTCTTTGAAATCGCGAAAAAAAACACAAATAAAAGTTTTCTGAACTCTGTGACATTGTTCCTGTGACGAAGTGGGGAGGTGAGGGGGGGAGTGGGGAGGGGATTTTTTTTTTTTTTTTTGGGGGGGGGGGTGGGTATGCAGCTTCAATTAAGTCGGCAAACTTATCCGAACGCTATTCTCAACGTTACCAAACCCGGATCAACAAAACATGACATTTCCCAACACCACACACTACGTTGGATTCCCCCCCGAACCTTCACACGTTAAAAGTTTTTTTTTCGCACACACACACACACACACACACACTTGGCGCTGTCCTAAACCCGCAGCGTTCACCCCAACCTCCAAACCTCCAGAGCTCTCAAACCCACCTCGACCTCTTCCTAACAGTGACTCCCTCCCCAGGTACACACACAACCAGCAAATTAGCACTAACCTTGAGTTACAATAGCCCGAGGGTGGGGGTTGGGATGGATGGGTGGGGTGGTGGTGGTGGGGGTGGGGTGGGGGAGGATAGTTTGGGGAGAGGTTGTGACAAATTCTCGCACTTAATAAAACTTGTTATTTTTCCTTCGCCTCAGTCACCTCGAAGATGGATCCCCTTTTCAGGTCATCTCGAAGCGTGTGGGTCTTTTTTTAAAAAACACACACACACACACACACACTCAGACACACACACACACACACAGAGAGACAGAAAAGTACTAATAAGCGGCCGCAGACGACTCTCCCGGTCCAAGGCAGGAAAGACCAGCTCGCAATCTTGGTCAGGACCAACAGCATCCAGACTCCCGCAGTTTAAGTCGGGAAGGAGCGGAGCGGAGCGGGTGCTCTCTGAGCCGCGTTAACCCCCCACTCCCCACCCCCACTCCCCACCCCCAGAGCGCACACAGTCTGATCTGATCGGCGGCACAAGTCAGTCAGTCACGGCTCGGGTTTCCTATAAAATCTTGATGAGATCTCTTGAGTTATTTGTTGCAGGGCTTCTCCTGTGGCGTGTCTGTGTGTGTCTGTGTGTGTGTGTGTCTGTCTGTGTGTGTGTGTGTGTGTCTGTCTGTGTGTGTGTGTCTGTCTGTGTGTGTGTCTGTGTGTGTGTGTCTGTGTGTGTGTATCTGTTTTGTGTCTGGTACGAGCTTTCCACGACAGAGCGTGTTTCTCCAAGTCGGACCTGGCTGTTTGACAGCAATGACTTACTTAAATCTTGACTTGCCCCCCCCCCCCCCCCCCACACACACACACCTCTCCATTTCCCCACCCAACACTTCTACCAAATACTAGACACGCAGCAGCGTGTGTTACTACATGAACGGTGGGGAGGGGGAGGGGGGGGGTTCCCCAAATAAAATAATTTTATTTGGGCAAAATCCACTAAACAACAGAGGCGCTTTTGAGGCTGACAGCTCAACAACAATTGGGGACAATACTTGGAAGAAATGGGACAATTTCAACCTCCCCCCCCCCCCCCCCACACCACACACACACAGGAGATTTACATTACATACAGGTTAAAATTGTCCTGGACGCCAACCAGCGATAAATAATTGTATTTCTCAAATACTAACCGAATCTCCCGCTTCATAGGTAATTATTTAAGGTATTTGCATCCAATCAATTTGAAATCCCTAAGTTCAAGTGCACTTCACCTCCGTCCCTTTCTAGATTTTAACCCTCCATCCACCGGCTGCGATGACCCCTCTCATAATCCACGTACTTAGAATTCAATCGAGTTAATAACAACATTTCTTATTAATGAAGGCTGATAGATTTACAGTCGTGGCTCTTACAAAAGTTCCGATGGGGGGTGGGGGGGGGGGGGGGGGGTTGGTGGGGGCGATGGTGGGGTTAATATTTGCGTTAGAAACACGGTATTTGAGAGCTCCCACTGTAAATCTCCGTCCTAACAATTACACACACACAGATACACACACACACACACACACAAAAGTATAGGGAGGGGGAGGGAAAAAAAAAAGACCCACCGTTTTGAGCCAGGGTGTGAAAAAGCATCAACAAGAGAGTTTCATTGGAACTTGCTGACAGTCTTCTCTGTGCCTCTGAGCGGTTTCTCGGCTGAAACTACTTGTGCAAAAAACGTGGTAAATTATTGATGGCGGAAACTACATGGCAGAGGGACGTGGAGTAATGCCATACTCATATGCCAACTCCATTTGATATTCCGATGGTCAGATCGCTGCTGTTGGTACAGTGACAACGCATCGTAACCGACGAGAGCAAGACTTGTAAAAGCTTTACTTCTAACGGGGGTGGGAATTCCTCCTTATGCTAAACATCCCAGTGACGTCTCTAAACCCATCCTTCCACGTGATTCCCATGTAAAACACCAAATATAACTTGCATTGCCCTGGATTCTTCTTTTTTTAAATATATATATAAATATATATATATATATAATAATACAGCGCTCATTATCACCTTGTGGCTTCAAAAGTCAATTCACTTCATTCATTCATTCATTCATCCATCCATTCATTCATTTCATTCATTCATTCTTTTATTTATTTGTTTATTACACGGATGGCTCCCAAAGCTGGACGTACAAGAAGCTGACTCAAGCACTTTTACTTGTAAAAGGTCACAGCTTACAAAAAGTAATAGAATTGCCTTCACGCAAATGGAACAGCTTTTTTTGCTGCGTGTGTCACGTTTTGCCACCAGTTGGAAAAATTCTGAATTGAACGAGAGATGATTCCCCCCTCTCCATCCCCCCTCCCCACCCCCGCACCATCACCACCACTCGCTATTCAATAAAATCAATCGGGATATCCCCCTTCCAGAGCATTTATTTTTCTTTCTCTCTCTCTCTCTCTCTCTCGTGTGTGGAGTCACTACCCCCTCTCTGCTGTTTTAACCGGTTTGCACGATGCGAGGCGGAGCAGTAAGTGGATCGACATCTCGGTCTGCAGCACACACCGCGCAATAACGCAGTCCCCAGACAGGGTGGGCGGGATCCGCGACAGAATTGATGCAAAGGCCCCCACCACCCCCCCCCCCGCCCCCCCCCCCCCCCCCAGTGAAATGAAATACATCACAATATTCCGCCCGCGTCCACCCCACTCCTGCAACCGCCCTTCTCCGCTTGAGCTTCGCATCCGCTTCGCTTCGGTCAGATGACACCCCGTGTTGTGACTCTGACGTCTCATGGACTCCGCCTGAGCCCCCGAAGGCATTGGCTTGAGCAGCGGTGGGTGTGCGACAGTCGTGCGACTCCACTCGCTTGCACTTCCACGCCGAGTGTGCAAAACTCTCAGGTCAAGTGCGTGACGATGTTTCGATATCTGTCGCTTGGGCCGAGCGACTTGTTGTGCCTTTACCCCAATGGAAAAAAAGGCCCCACAACGCCAGATCTCTCCACGTAGCTTTCCCACTGCAGTGTCACGCGTATCGCTGGGGTTTCTGATAACTTTGTAGCTCGGTACGACGGTGAAGCTAATGGTTTTGAATAAAAGAACGCCAGAAGCAACGAGAAAGCCACGCGTTGTCATTCCGGACTCTCCCCTTCGGGTAGAACTGAATTGACACCTTCTTACGAGTGTGAAAGAGTTGCACTTAGAAACCATCTAAACCCTCAGAGGTTGCAGACGAATAATTGGGTGTTTCCTTGACCTCTGGCAGAACTGTCCTGTCCGCTTCCGAATTAATAGAATCTGTGACACATTGCATTTAAATGAACGATGCAGTTTTTTTTTTCATCAGCCAACAAAGTCTGGCTGGAATCCCAACAAACCCACGTAAATAAGTAAAACTTCTTACGGGTGACTGAAATGTTATTGACTCAACCTTCCTGAGGAATTGTAGCCCTCTCCCACCACCCCCAAATGATGCGTCAAACCCCTCGTTGGGGGATTGACGACCACGTAGACTAATACCTGTTGGACTATCAGCTTACTTCAAAACAATAAGTAAATGTCACTCGAAGCGCTGGTTTTTAATAACTGCATTCATTAGAAATCCGAGGTCAACTCCGTTTGGACTGCAAACATTCNAAAAAAAAAGTCGATACGTGACAACTTTGAAACAGCGCTGTGAGTGGGTGCGCGTTGTATCGGGGGCCGGACAGCTGTTTGTCAACTGTTCTTTGACCCGATCGCTTCGACGGCGAGTTCTCTCCAGGCGATACACCCACATTGCCGATTAATTATCGCCGCAAATTGCATGCACCAGCCAAGTAAAAATCCGCACCAGTTGCACTTCCACAGTCCCTTTCGTCAGCCCACCCGCTCTTTCTCTGACTCCCTTGTCCTGCAGTGTCTCTCTCTCTCTCTCTCTCGAGTCCCTTGTGCGCCCTTTGCAAACGATGAACCAAAAGGTACACGCACGGCAATCAATATTGGTGCATGTTCTACATTCCAGCCGTCTCCCCCCCCCCCCCAAAAAAAAAACAACGCAGTGCAGTAATATGCTTGGACTTGACAATCGGTAGTTGGAACCATTTAAATGAAGGTCCTCGTGATATCTAAACGATTGAATTGATAGCCGAATGAACGGTAATTACTTG